GGGGCGGGGTGGCGAGGCCGAGGTAGGGGGCCAGCAGGCCGTCAGAGACGGCGGCGCCCGACAGGCCCGTCAGCACCGAGGTGTAGAGCAGATACGGGTGGCGGCCATGGCGCGGCGAGGCCAGGAAGGCCAGGGCGAAGCAGGCGGACGAGGCCAAGGTCAGGGCGCGCAGCTGGGTCCGGGCCGTCGAGGCCAGGGTGCCGAAGCCGCGCGAGGCGGCCGACGCCGACGGGAGGGTGAGCAAGGCCGGGGCCGTTAGGGACGACAGCGTGTACGATAGGCCCTGGGAAGGGGGGATTGTTGATTTGGGTATGTGGTTAGCCGCTGCTGGATGAGGGTAGTGGTGGTGGTGGTGGTGATGATGATGGTGGCGGTCCGTGGTTGGTGCTGCGGGGAATGACGTAGCACCAAAAGGGCCCCCTCCTGACATGGGGATTTTCCCAGACGGCAGGACCTAGGAAATCATGCGGAGCTGCTTACCGTCAGGAGGCCGAGGGACACGGTGCCCACAAACTTGAGCAGAGAGACTCCTCTGGAGGCCATGGTGGATTCTGAGCGCGGTGGCAGACAGAAAGGATGCAAGCCGTGGCTGACGCTCCTTCTTTTTGTTGTCGCGATGGTGGGATGAATTGAGGATTGAGGGCGGCATGGGCGGTTGGGCGGAGTCGGCACCCACCTGGCACCCACTGGCACCCACTGGCACCCCAAGCTTGGTAGGTGGGGCATTGGTTAGTGCGCCCCTGATTAAACAAAGCTCAAAGGAAGACAAACACGACTGATCCCTGTCCATACTTGACCTAGCCTTGCCTTCTGCTGATACTTGCTCCTTCATCTTCAGATTCAACTTTCTACCTTCAGGCCCCTTCCTACTCGCCCACATATTCAATCACTCACCGTGGCCGCCGCTTCTGACCTGACAGACCTGTCAAATGCTTTTTTGCACCTCTGATCCCCGCCTGCTTTGGTGCGGCTGATGCCATTATCTGCGCTTCTCGGCACAAAAACGCCACCAATGTGATGTATGCGTCGCCTGCCGGGGTTGCCAGCGAGTAGCTTTGACGCTATCGACCAGACGACATGGGCGGCGGGGCTCCCGTATTGGTTGATGCATGGTGAATGCGGGCAAGCGTCGCCTTGGGAGCCTGGGGTGTGATTTCAAAAAGTCCAGCATGCCCTGCAACAACGTGCGCCCACGACTGGGACCTTCATCCAAACCATCGTTGTGAATTGCAACAAATGCGCCTAATCGACACAACCACCCTCAGTCTCGTCGACGTGGTCGCCGAAAATGCAAAGCCTTACGCCATTCTCTCCCACACGTGGGAAGACGACGAAGTCACCTTCGAACACATGCGGATTTTGAGCCACCCAAAGTTGTCCAGCCCAGAGGTCATGAAGGACATAGAATCCCGCGCCGGCTACCAGAAGATCCAGCAGGCGGCTGCCCTCGCGCGGGGCGACAATTATGATTTCATCTGGATCGATACTTGTTGCATCGACCAGGCCAGCAGCGCCGAGCTCTCGGAAGCAATCAATTCCATGTTCTCTTGGTATCGCGACGCTGCCGTGTGCTACGCCTACCTTTTCGACGTCCCCCGTGTCCCGCTCGCCCAGAGCCGCTGGTTTAAGAGGGGCTGGACCCTGCAAGAGCTCATTGCGCCTTGTGAGGCCATCTTCTTCTCGGGGGGGTGGCAGGAGATCGGCAGGAAGACTTGTTCGAAGTTTTGTGACCAGTTGGCCGACATTACGGGCATTGACCGGCGCGTGTTGCTACGAACTGTGCCGCCAGCCGATGTCAGCGTCGCCAACAGGATGCGCTGGGCCGCCGGGCGCAACACCACCCGCCGCGAGGATGTTGCCTACTGCCTCATGGGCATCTTCGGTGTCAACATGCCCCTGCTTTACGGCGAAGGTGACCGCGCCTTTATTCGATTGCAGGAAGAGATATTGAAGGTTTCCGACGACACGTCCATCTTCGCGTGGGAACAGGACGACGGCGCGCCCGGCGCCCCCCTAGAGGGCGAAGCACTATACAGCCACGACAGGCTGTCTGGTCTGCTAGCCAGCTCTCCCGAAGCGTTTGCAAATGTCGAAGGCATTCGTGGGCTCCCCCGGCCGCCCACGCTGAAAAGCATGCCTTGTACCATGACAAACCAGGGTCTCCACCTGTCCATGTATCTTCAGCCTATGCCTCCCGGGCCCAGCGGCCACTCCGACAGCGAGTTGTACATCGCCTTCCTGGATTGCTATGTACTCCAGAGAGGCGAGCACGTTTACCCTACTCTGGTCCTCCGGAAGCTCCAAAGCGACCAGTTCGCGCGCTCAGGGTTGACCAAGCTGCTCAACAGGCGAGGCCCGTTGTCCGAGCAGGATCAGCCCTCTGGACACGGCTACCAAGACTTTTACGTCAGGCAAGAGCCCAGACACTTCCTGCCAGACGTCTTGATTGCCTCGAATGATGCTTATCGAGTCATCGACATCTTTCCCCCGCAATGCTGGTACTCCGACTCGCATGTAATCAGCTGCAAAAATTGGGATGCGCGGCAAGGCTGTATCGCAGTCGTGCGCTTCGCCTTTGAAAACGGTGACCCGCAAGCCGACGTGGCCATAGGGTTCAGGAAACAATGGGACGCGTGGAAACCCTGGTGCAGCGGTTTTTTTCGCGTCTCCTGTAACCTCTCCCTCGTCTATGAAGAATTCTCAGGGCTCGAGAAAAAACAAGGCAGTGCCGTGGCCGATGGTTCCACACAGGGCTGGAACGCCACTGTCTGGGAGACTACCATACACGGACGGCCGTTCATTCAGTTTGAGCTGGCTACACACTCGGAACTGTGTGGGAGCGAAATCACCTTGGAACAGAGGACTTCTCGGCATGGAAAAAAGCGTTCAGAACAGGAGCGAGCGCTCGCAGGACTGCTTCAACGTTGTTGGGTAGCTGACTCGGTTGAGCTCAGCATCTGGCCGACCCATAGAGCTCTGGGAAAGATCAGGACAAGAGACCCGAAACACGGTAAGAAATACCAAGACTTCCCTCCCAGGATGGTCCATCGCTCTATGGAAATTTGGACACTCGGAAAGGCCCAGCTCGCGGCTGTGCTCTCAGACGTTAGCCTCTTACGCGCCAGTTGGGACTGGCGGACGAAGGAGACCGAGGGGTATCCGGTAATACCCAAGACTCTGGAAAACCCGCTTCATCTCGCCGCGGCGTATGGTAGCCCGGAACATGTCGAGGAGATGTTTGACGTCCTCCTGGGCGAGGGCTCCGGTTTGACGACGCGTAATGCTGCCGGCGAGACGCCGCTTCACCGTGCCTGCGCCGCGGGGAACACCATGGCGGTCCGACGCATCATGCGCTCTGACCAGACGGAAGCGCTGCTCTGGGCGCAGGACGAGCTTGACCGCTCCCCGCTGTGGCACGCGGCGTGTGCTGGGCAGTGGGAGATCATCCAGGTGCTACTTCGCAGGGCACCCGGCGGCCTCGTTGATTTTGCCGATAGCGAGGGTCGGACCCCGCTGCATGCAGCGTGCCGCGAGGGCCACTCTGAGGCGGCGAGAGTCCTCCTAGATGCGGGAGCGGACCCGGCCGCGGCGGCCGGGGCGACGTGCTTCACGCCCGCACACATGGCCGCCCTCATGGGACACGCCACCTGCCTCGAGGTGTTGTGGAAACACCCGCGGGTTTCCAAGTCCCATATGGGCCGCACCCTGCAGAACATGGGGTCCGACGACTTCGGGCTTGGTTTCGACGTTTACTGCACGCCGTTCCACCTCGCCGTGGCGAACGGGCACCAAGACTGCGTCGAGGTGCTGCTTCAGGTCGTGGCCAACCCCATCAGCAGCTGCACCCATTTCATAACCGTGTCCCACGAGCAAAATGACGACTTGGACACGCCAAAGGCCATGGTAGCAATAGCGGCAATGGACGCGGGCGACGGGGACAGGCTGGCCGCGGCGATTTTCGAGCCGTCGCCTGGCCCGACGGGCAGCCTCTGGCGCGCCACCGTCAAGAAGGCCCTGGAGCGGGGCCGCGGAGCCATCGACACGCGGCGCATCATCCGGTACACGGAGATGACCTCCCACTCCTCGGGCCTGATCAGCCTCGCCCGCTTCGCCGCCCGCCTCACCGCCCCGCTGGCTGCGCTCTCCACCCGGACTGCCGGGAATGTTAGGGACAGGGCCCCGGTCAAGCTCCTCGAGCCGCCGCCGCCGCCGCCGCCGCCGCCGCCACCGCGCGAGCGAACGCCCGACTCCGCGGCTTCTTCCCGGTCGAGCAGTTCGTGTTCTAACCAAAGCTCTGGCACCATGGATAGCGCGTCATCACACGTGGGAGCGGCCGGCTTGGTAAAGTGGTCGGCAAGGCGGAGCAATCTGTTGGCGGCGGCGGCGCGGAGGGAGGAAGATGTATGGGAGCGAGAATTGGCCTATGGATTCGACAGGTGACGTTGCTGCCCTTCGAACTCGTCTGTTTCTCTTTTGTGTTGTTCCTTTTGGAGAAGAAACAACGATTCTGCAGGGGGGGGGGGGGTTGACGAGTAATGATGGATTTGCTACCGGAAACGCCGTTGGGACAGGTCACACTCTCATTTAGTTTTTTGCGCCCTGGGAAGTACCCCATCTAGAAGCCCCTCGTAATCCTCAACAAAGAGCCCGGCAGGGTGGACCATTGGCAACTGGTGATCCGTTCCAGCCCATCCCGTTCCAGATGTCAACACCAATGTTGAAGCATCAAGAAGTCGTGCCAAGAAAGACGCTAGTTTAGGACTAAATCGGAGTCGACCCGTCCTATCACGACTGCGCAGTCAACCACTAGCTCCACCTCGGCTCCAGTCCTTCCCCACCGCAGGGCGTTCACAGGCCGGGTACTGATCCCGTCGTATCTAAAAATGGAAAAAGGAAAAGAAAAACGGTACAGCGAAGGGGGAAAAAAAAAGCAGAAAAAATACAAACAATAGGGGGATAATCAATGTGAGCTTTGCTGCTCTGCTTTTTGCCGTATACCTAGCGCGCAGAAACGTGCACGGCAGAAGTTCCCCAGGACAGAGGACAACGACGACCACCGGAACGGAACGCGCGTCATGGATTCTCCCAGCAAGGCAAAAGTGGTTTGTGCGCAGCAGCGGGGGTTTTGGGTAGCGCCGCCCCAATGTTTTGCGAGATTGCGTGTTGCTGACAGGGGTCTAATTGACGGGACGCAGCGGTGGCCTCCCGCAGTGGCACGCCCGTCCGTGCCCAGGCACCCTTCAAACCAACAACCTTGATTATGTCAGCGGCCAACCTCACCCGACCTACCTCCTTCATTTAATATTGCCAAGTTGCAACACTCCTCGGTGAACCTCGAGTGACATTTCGCAGATTTGAGTAATTGATTTATTTTTTGTCAATATTTATTAAATTTCTGTATCATAACGTTCTTTAGATCAATACTTTCCCCTGATTGCCCCTGTTACGCCCTTCGCCCGACCACAAGGCGCCTTGCAAGTGGGGCAGCCTCGATTTCCCCGGATCAAGGTTTACCTGCCCCGGGACGGCCTCGCACAGTGTATAGACCAGGTGTGACTTTGCAAGCTATGTCGGACCGTCCCATGCCGTGCTTCGCCAGAGAATGCACAGCCCATATCCCCTAGGGCTGATGGGGATTGTGGGATGATGATCAGGATGCAGCCTGAATATCAATTGGAGGGACTGTTTGGAATGCCGCTTGCCAGCTGGACGCCGAGAGTGAACTGGAACGTGATGTAGGTAGCACCGTGCCGCCATGTCGTGGTCAACGGGATGTAGTGCTGCAGGGAGGGTGCAGCCTGGTGTAATGGCGTCTGTACGACGGCTGGGGATCCAAGTGGAGATAGTAGCATGCCATGAGACGACATCAAAAAGAAAGAGGACAAGTAGGATGGCAGGAAGCCTTGTGCTCGTTGGTGCCACAGGAGCAAACCCTGATGGGGAAGCCCCCTTTGTCACATCAAATGGTGATGGGGGAAGTGCTGTGCACCGGCCAATGCCATCGACAGGGACAGATACAACACAAGAGGCGTGTTCCGGGGCGGCCCTGTGGTATCACGACGCATGGCCCGTTAAACGGGTGCACGAGACGTTGGACGAGCCGGGGCAGGCAGCACGACGCATTGCCGTCGACCGGGACCAATCGAAGGAGAAGTGAGGCATGGTGATGCTGAGTCGGCAGGCTGCAACGACAGCCGACACGACGAGACCATCATGATCTCAAGGCATCAATGAGGGTGGCTGGGAAGGTGTGAAAGACGATGGGGACAAATGGATGTATCAACAACGTGACACAATGAGGTCGGCCCAAGTGGTGGCATGGGAGGAGACGAGGGAGGGGGCCAAGGAGAGGCAGCGAGGGGTGCACCGTACCCAGATAGGTAGGGTGTGGGAGGGGGGCAGGGTCTTGGGGGAACAGGCGGCCGCCACGGGACTCGACCCCACATGATTGGCCAACCCAGTCCGCAAGGAGTCCGACAGGGCCATAAAACCGCCAGCTCCCACCTCCTGACATGTTCTCCTCCCATTCTTCCATTCCTTCTTCTCCAGACCAAAAGAAAATCCATCAAAGCTCACCAAAACCACCCAATTCCTTCATAGAGCCTCCCAAAAACATCAAGCAGACCCCAGTCCAATACTTTGAACCATCCCTTGGCTTCTTTCCACTGCCCACTCGCCGCCTGACAGACCAAGCCGCCTTCGGGGAGCAGACACTGCGCTCGCAGGGACAAGAGATCTCGCCCGCCGCTCCTCCGCTTAGGTCGACCCCTCAGTCACGATGGCGTACTCGGGATACTCGTACCAGGACTGGTCGGCACCGGCCGACTACCAGCCCTCATCCTCCACCGCTTGGGAATGGGATGAGCACAGAGAGTCCGGACAGCACGCCCCTCGACGCATGCAGCACGGTTACTCTGAAGAGACCGGCCACTACGTTTATGACCTCGGGAGCCTCCGCGAGGACGACCCTTACCGGATCCAGCCCCGAACCTCGGCAACAAGGCGAATCACCAGCGGCCCAACCTCGCACAGCCGGTCCGGAGACGATGGCTACAGGCAAAGCGACATGCCGTCCAGCAACAGCAACAGCAAAAGAAGGGACGAGAAGGAGAGGAGCAACGGGGGGAGGGGGTCGGCATCAAGAAGCTCGGCGGCGCACGAGCCGTCTAGGAGCAGGGGTTCGCACCACCGCGCCCCGCCCAGGACGCCAACCATGGAGCGATTGGCGACCCCGGAGCTGGCGCCACTCAGCGCAGGGCTGCGCTTCTGCTCGTGTGGGTGCAGCGACGGCCTCCACGAGGAGGAGGAGACGTACATTCAGGGCCGGGAGAAGATGGACTCGCACCGTAAGTGTTGCCGGCACTCCCTGACCCATCCGCGCGCGCTTCCCGGCCACCCTTGCTAACGTTGCTGCCAACCGTCTAGTGCAATACGCATCGACACACATTTCCAGGCGAAGCGATGACCGTCGCCCGAGGGCTTGAGATGTGGTTGGTGGGAGGTTGCTTGGCCTGCGGGTAATGGATGGATGTCGCAGCGCACACTTTTGGGTCAGGTTTTCTGGTTTCGGGGCAATTGAGGCATACAGCGAGGCGTTCAGGCGTTCACCAGAGGTTTTGGCTTAATTTCGGTTGGGTCGAAGGATTGCGTCGTTGGATAAGGTGCGGGGCTCGAATTGGTTTTTTCTTTCTTATTTCATTGTTTTATCGCGTCGACGCGTCGGCCACTTGCCTTTCTGCCTGGGGGAATGAGAAGATGAATTGAGTGTCGTCCGTCGTTGGGTGGAGGCAACAGGAAAGCACCAACAGCGAGCGAGGCAGCGTGGCCAAGTCCGTGCATGGCCCTTTTTTTTCCTTCTGGGGGCACTGTGAGCAGCCTAGCGCGAAGTCAGCAGACTCGGTGACACGCAGCGCGGCTCATTCAGTTCGTGCAGTTCGGTATGAGTCGATTGCTCGTTGGTTTGGATTGGCTGCCAGGCAGCAACGGCCATGTCTTGTGGGTCCCTGGGAGGCCCCGGTCCGTTTAGAACTGCCATCGGCGAATTAGAGGCCCGGTCACTGCCAGGGGTCTTTTTCATCTGGAGCATCCGCTCTGCTGGCCTTGCTTGATGATGGGGTTTCTCATGAGAGCGAAAGCTGGGGTTGCTCGGTGTGTGCGAAATTGCGCGCAGGTTTTTTTTTTTTTTTTTAGCGACAAACACTTGGCCGCGATCTAGGAACTGCTCTTTTTTGTTGCCGCCCCTTCAATTGATCGTGGCGTGGGTTGATCGTTGCGACTAGGAGAGCTGCGCGACATGGCAATGTCGGAGATGCATCGGATTGCGCAACGGCGCATTGACTGCCCGGTGGGCGCCTACTATTGGTACGCCATTGCTGACTTATCATGCACAGCCGCTCTTCTATTGGTGCGCCAGTCCAGGCCTTGATGACTCAATATTTTCGCTTGCTCTGATTCGACGCCAGGGAGGCGAAGCCAGGCAGGACTTGAGTCCTTCAACCTGACCTTATCTTGAGTAGGACTTGGTCAGCTGTTCTTGTTTTGGCCCACGCTTATGACTGGTTCTCGGTGAGGACATAAGTGCAGGACCGCACCTCTCGGTCAACGTCGCGCCGCAGCCGTTTTGGTTTCCCATTTATCTAACACCTCCTAGCGCTGCCTCTGCTGGCCTTGCTCTCTTGCAACTAGCAAGTGACGCCACCCAAAGTGCAAGGCATTGGGGGCTTATTCTCGGCAGGGAGTAGGCCAGTAGCCATTGCTTCTATTCTAACTTGATATTACCTATTAAGAATAAAAAGACTCACGGGCTTACGTCCGTTCCCGAGTCGCTGGCGCTGTCTCGGCTGTCCTTGAAGCCCGTCACTACGGATTTGCGATTATAATAAGTGATAAACGGCCCAACATAACACATTCGTAAACGCATAACCCCATGCCCATGGCTACTAGCCACGGCCAACAGGCGAATTTAGCCCGCGTCCTCCACCCAGCCCGGATTTGCTCCTGACAACACCCGGACCATCCACTCGACTGTCGAATTGATCAAAGTCGCTGCGCAGACTCCCAAAACTGCCCCTATCCCCACGCCCACCACCTCGTGTGTTCGCCCTGTCATCCTCACTGATGTGCACCGTCACTTCGGTGTCTTTCCTGATCCGGCCTGCCGGCAGCACTCCGCACGCTATGCTGCTATTCGCGCTCGTCGACCCGCGGCTCGGCTGGTCGTATTGCATATCTTCTGGGGTTGACTGGCGCGGCAACGGTAGCTCAGCAGCAGCTTCGGCCTCCCGGCGAGCGCGGTTGTAAATAGATTCCTCGCTCTCATTGGCCGTAGGGAGTGGGTTCACAGAGCGCGGGCCACGTCGCTCCGGGAGCGGCGCCCGGTTGTTGAGTTGGACGTCGTTCGAGTTGCTCCCGGGGAGCATGCCGTGGGAGCCCCCCTTAGGCCCCCGTGATGCACCGGAACCCGTAATTGACCGGATAGTACTAAATATGGGCCCTGTGAATCGTCGGACGACGGAAAAGATCATGGGGATATTCGACGTGACAACTGCTACGAAGGTTTCGCGCACGGCCCAGGAACCAGCTTGCTGGGCACCATTGATGGGGTCCTATGGATAGATCGGGTGCGTTAGAAGGCAAACGGGTAATACGCATAAGCTGAAGAGAGACATCCGCGCGATACGCTGCGGCAGTGCGCAGTACGATCCACTTACTGTGATGATCAGGACGCATCTGAGGATGCCAGCGAATGTGACAAACAATCCTAGGCCAAATAGCACCATGAGGCCGGCCTTTTTCGCTGGCTTGAGTGAGGCCTGCCAAAGCATCGGCAGGGGTATACTGAGAAGGTACATGTCCGTCAGGACGTTGAGCACGACGGTTACAAGGACGTTGATGTTGGAAATGGCGGGCTGGCAAAGGTCTGTAGCAAAGCTCCATGTTAGCTACGCGGCCTGCCTGGGTTATCGCTATAGCATTTGAACGAGTGAGCAAGCGGTATGGGTAGACACTCACTCCCAGGATCTGGAAATATCTGCCAGTTCTTTTCGAAAGGCATGCAGCCGAGCATGATGGAGAGGAAGACGACAAGCCAGGTTGCCAAAATCAAGCCAAAGCCAACCTGGACACGGATCTTGAAGTGGGCAAGGCCTGCAGTAAGACGCAGGTAGAATGCGCACATGGAGGCCTTGAGGAGCCATAGCAGTAGCGTGTAGGTCGACCATCCTAATGAGAGAGAAGGCAACAGTTAGCAACCGAAGGTTAGCTCGTACTAGGAGCAATCAGCATTCTAAAGAGCTGGTGGGATCCCTACCGGCGATTTGCGTCTTGGAGCCGTTGATCCTGACGGTCGAGTTTATCAGTGGTTAAATCGAATACCGCATCCCTCTGTACTCGACGTGCGGGCGCAAGCTCACCTGAGCCACCACTCTTCACTCTCGGGCACCAGCGCAGCCCTTTGCTCGTCGGTCATGCCATTGTTGGCCAGGCCGCGCCAAAAGGCGCCAACAGAATATGCCAGATACGATTCGCCAGAGTACACCACCTAGACGGTCCAGCGCAGCCATTATCAGCAACAGCGCAGAAGAGGGAGCCCCCAGAGGAGAGGTGCGACGGGGAGGGACTCACCGCAGCGGCCACCATGAGGTAATCATCGGCTTGCAGCTTGGTGATGCCAACGGCCGAGATTCGCGCATAGAGGCGTAGCGCAATGACGGACAAGCCGATGCCCAGCAGGGTCCAGTTCTCGATCACGAAGTTGTTCATCTTGCCTGCCCAACGGGGTGGCTCCGGCTGGTCCGGGCACCGAGGGGGGCTCTGGGTTCGCCGGAGTAGGAGGAACGACGGGGGGCTGTCGGCGCAATGTTAGGAGGGAAAGGATGAAGGTGTGTCGCTGCTGTCAGGTTCGTTCTGAGCTTGTCGTGAGATTGCTCTCAGAAGTCCCCCACGTTGAGTGTCTGCGATTGCGTGTTTTTTTTTGCGCGCGCGCGCTAACGCCAGATCCCGGCAAGTCGAAAACGGACGGCACGACGGACTCGGGGTATGCGCTTCGACGAGCTTGTCGGCTGGGATTCCGGGGAAGGAAGGAAGGAGGGACGGAGAAGGGGTTCGTACCACTAAAAGCATCAAAGGGGGCAGGTGCCTTGGACAGGGTGGCAGGATATCCGGCCAAGAAGAGGAAGCCACGCGGAAGATTTCGCCCACTGCTGCAGCAACCTCTAAACCACGATCTCTGAGTGGCATTGGCAGCGGGATCGACGGCGACCCTTGAGGTCCAGGGGCAGGAGACAAGGGGATGGAGCCGACTTAAAAGCCGCACAGGACCTCGAGGTGATGTCTACTGGGTAACAGCGTGGGGACTCGCTCGCAAATCAACACCCAGCCAGTGATTGCGCGAAGCAATGCCGGCAGGGGTCACGCTTACCTACACGCGAGGGCGTCGTGACGGGCCCGATGAAAGTGGTCGTCGATCGCGCCAAGGGGCGTCGCGTGCGGGTGCGGCGTCTTTGCCGGCCTCGAATTCTATGTGGGGGGCCACCCTGGGTGCTGCAGAAAAGTAGGTTGTAACAGTAGCAGGCACATGTTTCCAAGAGGACAGTGCCGCCCCCTATTTTTTGCCAAGTGCGGATACTGTAGCAATGCGACTCTGTGATTTCTTGTTCGGATGAGACCACGGCGACGATGCACGGCATCTCTACTGTCATGCCTCTGTGCGTGCCAGGGTGTTAGGGACACACACGTTACATCACATCACTCACTGCATTTGGCATCCGATCGCCGACTTGACTTCCTTTCTTCCTCGTCCCCGAGCGTGCGACATGCCTCCGTCTGACATGTTGCACGGAGAAATATTATCCCCTGAATCCACACTACTTACGAAGAAGACGCGGAGCCGTAGAGACCTCGAAGGGAAGGAGTTTTCACCCAGCCTACACCAAACAGCTATCGGCTGGGGGCACGGGTTTTACCTTCATGTAGTTAACCCGATACGTAGTACTCCCCATGGGCTCTACAGCTCGAAAGGGGTAAATAAATAAATATATATATATCCCCTGAATCCTCGCTGATTCCCCATCTCGACCAGCCTAGACGCGAACACAAGCCACCCGCTCCCAACCCGCTGGAACAAAATTGCCATGGATAGCAGAGAAACAGAAAAATCAGACCCAGAGTGGCTCCTAGATGGAGCTTACGATAGGCGCCTCCTTGGCGACCCGCCGCTTGCCGATGATCTTGTTGAGGGCATCGTCAACGTATTTGGAGCCGGGGGAGCCGGGGGTCCAGAGCATTCCAGCCATGACTTTCGGTGGCTCGGGCTTTATGGTCTTGACATTGCGGGGCGAGGGCAGGGCGCTGACTTGGCAGGTGATGGTCGCCAGGGTCAGGCAGATAGCAGTTGAGAAGGCATTTTGGCGGTGGGAGGGGGAGAAGTAGCGGAGAAAAGGCGGAAAACAACCGAAGGGCGGGCGGTTGTAGCGTGGAAGCGAAGAAGAAGGAAGACGACAAAAGGAAACTAACAAAAGGAAATCGACAAAAAAGAAAAAGAAAGAAAAAATGAAGTCAACGCTTAAGCAGCTGTATCGAATGGCAGGAAATTGTAAACAGTAGGAGGGTTGACGCCGACCAAAATAGCTCGGCTAGGTTAGCGATCCTACCCCACTTATCCCTTTGGGTGCCATTCGGCCCGGGTCGCCCAGATTGAAGGTGATCAGCAAAATCATCCCTGTTTGTTGCTGTGCTTGGAGGTACGTATTTTCAGGGGCGCGTTGGAACTCGTCCTACGTGATTTTCGCAGTAAATTCAAGCGCGACGTACCGCTTTGTCACAATGACTTCTGCTGGTACAGGTCCCAGAAATCACAAACCTTAGTACAGTGGATCCTGGTGGTACATCAGTTTGGCTTGGCTTTCTGAGGAAAAAAATGTATCTTGCATCCACCGTACTAAGGTTTGTGATCCCTGGGACCTATACTTCTATTACGGGCTAATTAAGGCGCACGCGGAAGTACCGAAAAAAACAACCGTTTTTATGGCTAACGCACGCAAGATCAGCGACCGGGGGCCGAACGGCACTCAGAGGGATGGGCGCACGTGGGGGAGCTCTGCCGTTGGACAACAAGCATGAGGTACCCGGGAAAGGGGCTGTGAACGATCCCACGGCCTGCTAAGAAGTCGTAAAAACCAAAGTGCCTCCACGGGGCACCAACGTCGTGGAAGACAGGCAGTGTTTACAACGGGCGTGCGACGATACCTGGTTGCAATATAGGTGTGCCACCACGGGGTATCAGCTACACCGGGCCCGCACCCTCTCAACACCACAAACCGGGGCATGCAAGCCACCCGCTCTCCCTCCCGGGGCTCCATTCCATAGAAGTGCCAATGAAGAATGTGACGTGTGTCCGCCCGCGCACCCACCAGCTGTCAGTTGGCTGGACTCACAAGCGAGACATTAGCCGACAACGACCCTGCCCCCTCGCCCGTGCCGCCTCCCTCGCCAAGCAGTGACGCCACACGCTAGTCAGCATCCCGGTCAGGCCCCGGCCAGGCATTTTCCAAAACGGGACCACCCACCGGCCGGCCGGGCGCAGCACTGGAGGAAGGCCCATGAGAGGAACCCACCCATTGAGAGCCCGTCGCGGCCCGCCTCGACTGGAGACCCCCCCCTGAGCCCTGTGCCCCTTGCGCCGCCCAGGGTCGAGTGCGACCTCGTCCCCCTGGATCGCTCCATTGCCCCTACGTTCTCGTCGGCCTCGCTGGCCGGACCACCTGGGGGTTAATTTTTCCGCCCTCACTCCCCCAGTGCGACACAATCACGAACGATGGAGAGTGAGCTGGCATTGACCACGTCGCGATAAGTGGTTCAGTGCTCTGTGGCCGAGTACACGTGCTCAGCCCCCGGGCCCTTCATAAAACCTCCAATATCGTTTTGCTCTGGACGGCTCGGCGAGCGCCTAAGAATCCCACCAGCTCCTCGCTTTGTTATTTCGCCGTCGCAGAGATGACAGTAGAAGAAGTAGACCAGGTAGTGATTGGCGCAGGTATGTCTCAAATCTGGCTAGTAGGATGGGGAGATGATGAGCCGTGTGTAGGAGGGAAGGGAAACATCGACAACAAAAGGAGACAGAGAAAGGGAACGGAAAGGGGCAAGCCTCCGCGACGAAGACGACTTGCTGACGGCTCGACGCTCGCCCAGGCTTTGCCGGACTGGCCTCCGCAAAGGCGTCGCTCCAGCTTCACCCGGAGCGGTCGCTGGTGGTCCTCGAGGCCGCCCCCACCGTCGGCGGCGTCTGGGCCGCCCACCGCCTCTTTGACGGGCTGCGCACGAACAACATGCTGGGCACGTACGAGTACCCCGACTTCCCCATGGACACGGCCACCTTTGGCGTCAAGCCCGGCGAGCACATACCCGGCCGCGTGGTGCACAAGTACCTCAACGCCTACGCGGCAAAGTTTGGCGTCGCCGACAAGATCCGCTGCGGCTGGGACGTCGTCTCGGCCGAGCATCAGGAGGACGAGGGCGGCTGGCGCCTGACGGTCGCCGCGGCCGGCGGGACCAAAAAGATCCTGGCCCGGCGGCTCGTGGTGGCCACGGGCCTGACGTCGGAGCCCTTCATGCCGCACATCGAGGGCCAGGAGACGTATGGCAATCCCATCTTCCACCGGATGAGCTCCGAGGAGGACGAGGGACTCCTGACCAAGGCCAAAAACTTTACCGTTTTCGGCGGCACCAAGTCGGCCTGGGATGCCGTGTACGCTGCGGCGACCAAGGGCGTCCAGGTCGACTGGATCATCAGAGGTAACCACCCAGTGCTGATGTGAAGTGAAGACGAAGATGGAACAAGACTGACCAGAGCTTGCGGGATTTGTCCAAACGTTCAGAGAGCGGCCATGGACCGACTTGGATGGCGCCCCCTTACGTGACACCGCTGAAGAAATGGCTCGAGAAGCTCGTCGGTAAGTGACATCCGAGCGTGACACAAGACCAACACTCTACCCCACCGTTCAACAAGAAAAGGTGAGGTATGCGACACGGGGACACAGAACACAAGCTTACTTTTGGGGGTGAATGTGCGACTGCAACCGCGACCCGTGGCAGTGACACGCCTCCTCACGTGGTTCAGCCCGTGCATCTGGGGCGACGCCGACGGCTTTGCGGGCGTGCGGTCGCTCCTGCACGGCACGTGGATGGGGCGGGCCGTTGTCAACACCTTCTGGGGCATCCTGGGCGGCGACGTCGTGACGCTCAACAAGTTCGACTCGCACCCGGAGCTGGCCAAGCTCAAGCCGTGGAGCAACCCCATGTTCGTCGCCAGCTCCTTCTCCATCCTCAACTACCCGACCGACTTCTTCGAGCTGGTGCGCGCCGGCACCGTGCGCGTCCACATCGCCGACCTCAAGGGCCTGTCCAAGGGCAAGGTCCACCTGGCCGACGGCACCGCCCTGCCCAGCGACGCGCTGTGCTGCGTGACGGGCTGGAAGCACGTGCCGGCCTTCAAGATGCTGCCCGAGGGGCTGGACGCCCGCCTGGGGGTGCCGCACCCGGCCGCCGGGTCGCCGCTCGCCAACCCGGCCCGCCTTGGCCGCGCCGACGCCGAGATTCTGATGCGCTTCCCGCGCCTGCGCAACCAGCCGGTCCAGAACGCCAAGCTCAAGCCGCTGCTGGAGGAGGGATCCGGCCTGGACGCCGCCGCGACCGACGTCTCGCGCGGGCCGCAGGACGAGTCCCTGACGGCGTGGGCGCTGCACCGGCTCATCGCCCCGCCCGACGCGGGCCAGGTGCGGCGCCACCGCGACGTGGCCTTCGCGGGCGTCATGATGAACTTTGACGTGCCCATGGTCTCGCACGTGCAGGCGCTCTGGATCCAGGCCTACTTCGACGACGCGCTGGCGCCGGGCGTCGTGCCCCGCCGCCTGCCCGAGGACGAGGCCGACGACTACGACGACGAGGACGACGGCGCCGAGGACGCCGAGGTCGAGGCGCTGAAGTACCAGACGGTCTTGCACAGCCGCTTCGGCAAGTGGCGGTACCCGGCCGGCCACGGCGACAAGTTCCCCGACTTTGTCTTCGACGCTCTCCCCTATATCGACTGGCTCGTCGGCGACCTGGGCCTCAGGGTCCACCGCAAGAAGAACTTGCTGGCCGAGGCGCTGCAGCCGTACGGGCCCGAGGATTATGCCGACCTGTTTTCCGAGTGGGTGGCCAAGAAGCGTGTGTAACATGGCTCATTAAGCCCATGTAAAGTGGTGTTTAGCACTGCAAAAATTGGGCTACAGCAGGTGGCTGGAGGTCCCTTCCATTTAGGTGTTGCGGGAACTTGTTTATTGGGACGCGGCGGGGCAATAGTTACGTTTGGTGACGTAATTGATAGCGATCATATTCCTGAATTGAAGCTATTTTTATCAAATCGCGAGAAGCTTTCGCCCCGTCGGAACTCGAAGCAAGAGAGGCGTCTGATTCAAACGTAGAGTAATTATAGATTGAACTGACAAAATTTATACCCTGAACCTCATCCCAAGTCGTTACCGCATTCCAAACGCCAGCCAACATTTGTCACAATGCTATTATACAAGCTCGCCAACTGGGAACGACACCGCGACTCCTTCCAAGTGGACCCCCCCCTGAAATCATGTTCGAGCTCCTCTCTCGTCAGCGAGACAAGTAAGTGTTGGTGATTGGGACAGCAAGTCACGAGCTGTCTCGTCGGCGTGCGTTTTCTACCGCGCTCGACACAGCGGACGCGAGGTCCACATGGAAGAATGGCCTGTCAACTCCAAATATGGGAGCCAGCGCCGTTTTAGGCGGCACGCGGTCGCGCAGTATGTCATGGTGCTCTTCTCGTATTGCGGCGCCAGACTCCTTTGCAGGCACCGTCTTTATCTCCTCCTCTCCAGACTCGAGGTCCAGGTGCTCCCTGGTGTCGGCAATGTCTGCGCCCGGAGTCTCCGCCCCAAACAGGGTGACGTTGGAGGAGACGGCCGAGAATTGGAGCTTGCGGAGGCCCGTGGTCGCAGAGGCAGTTGTTGCGGCCACGTCAAACACCGGCATCCAGGAGCCAGATGCCGTGGTTTTCGGGCCTTGGCCGTGCAGAAGCCCAAACCCAACTGCAGCGAGCGCGCGGCGGGTCCAGCGGCTGCGGGCGCCGGCCAAGTGCCACTCAACCACGCCCGGCGCTGCCCACCGGTTCAGTTGGGCGCGCACGTCCTCGAGGGCTTCCACGGCAGTCGTATCCACCTGGTTGACAGCGCTGAGGTCGAGAACAACGGCATGAAGCCTTGGTAGACGCTCGCTCTCCTCCTCCGCCAAGCCATCGTTCTTCGGTGCCGGCATGTTCCAGGGTCGGTCCTGTTTCCCACGCAGATCAGTTAGTCAACATCCCCTAGGGAGGGTTTGTAAAACATGCGGGGTAAACATACACCTGCGTGCTTGTAGCCATCGGCATCCGTCCGGCGTGTGTGGGTGGTGACATGGGTCACCAGGTGATCCAGATATTGGGCTTGGTTGATGTAGTTGAAGCCCTCGGTAAATCTGTAGATGAAGACGCCTGCGTACGACTCGCTCACATCCACGGCGGGATTGGAGCCATCCTTGCGGTCAAGCGGCAGGAAAGCCTCGCGCGATTGTACCTCCCCAGACCGCGGGATGCCGTCGGCAGGTCGGTGGAAGCGGCGGTGGTGGTTTATGTCCAGAAGGGATCCATAATGGCCAGCTCCAGGGTTTGCGGTAGGCGCCTCGGGGTATCCCTGAGCCCTGAGTCGCCCGAGGAATTGGCCCTGCGACCTTGCAATCCTGAGGAGGATGACGATCAATGAGATGCCAACGGTAGCGTAGATGCCAAACTCCAGCGACTCGAACAGTGAGAGAAAAACGCCGGCGAAAAAGATTAAAACGTCCATTGGCGCAATCTTCCAGTATTTGACAATAGTGGGAGGTCGGGTAATCAGATTGAGGACGGCGTGGATGATAAGCCCGGAAAGAGCCGCAAGGGGGATGAAGAAGAAGACAGAAGTGAGGGCATAGAGGGCGAGCAGGAGAATGAGCCCGTTAAACACGCCGGCCAGAGGAGTTCTGACGCCAGCTTTGGAGAGAACTGCGGTGCCAGTGAAGGAGCCCGTTGCCGCATAGCCTCCAAGGAAGGGGCCAAGAATGTTGGCGGCGCTTATGGAAATGATCTCTTGTGAAGGCACAATGGTGTAGTTGTTGACGCGCCCAAAGGATTTGCCGATGGCGATATGCTCGATGATTAGGACGATAAGAAGGGCGGGGAGCTCGGGGGCGACGAGTTTGATGAGCTTGGTGTCCATCGATGGCACACCAGCGGCCGAGAAGCCTATACAGGATTCGTTCTAAAAGTCAGCCTTGATTGTCGCCTGGCTCAGCGTCTCGGTACCACTTTTCTTGTGGATTCACACGTACCTGTGGGCACGGATCCGAGGATGCGAAACCTGGCCTCGTTGGCAGAGAGACCCCGGTTGACAATGAAGCTGACCAGAGTGTATAACAGGATCACAAACGTCATACGGATGGACGAGATAGTAGCCCACAGCTTGGACCGGTGCTTCTGCCTCTCGCCCATACGAGCACAGAAAGACTTGATGAGCTGCAGCAGAAACAGAGCCGACAGCCCGACGGCGGCGTCGACGGTGGTTCTGGGGAGGGCCTTGCAGGTGGTAATGAAAACCTTGTACGGCGCGTCCCTGGTGTTGACGCCGGTGATACCCAGCACCGCGGGCAGCTGGCTCAGGGAGATGGTGATGGCGGCACTGGTGACGAAGGCGGCGATGGCGACGTGGGGGATGAGCTCGATCAGCCAATCCAGGCGCAGGAGGCCAAAAGCAAGCAGGGCGAAGCCGGCGAGTAACGAGACCGTTTTGGACGCCTCCTCGGCCGGGAGGCCTGGCATCTCGGCTTGGACCTTTGCGACGATGCGGCCGATCAGCAGCGAGATGACTGCTGTGGCGCCAATGGCGATGTCCTTGGAGGTGCCGAAGAGCCAGTACAGGGCGGCGCCGGTGAAGGAGGTGTAGAGGCCGAACTCGGGGCGGAGGCCGGCGAGCATGGCGTAGGCCATGGCCTGGGGGACGACGACGAAGCCGAGGGTGATGCCGCCGATGACGTCCCCGGTCAGCCAGCGGAGGTTGTAGCGTCCGATCCATTGGACGAAGGGGAAGAAGCTCTTGAAGTAGCGGGCCGCGCCGGCCGCCGTGGGTCGGTGCTCGAGCAGCCACTCCTTGACGGTAGGGTCCTCTTCGAAATACGCATCCAAGGGCGAGATGGCCGCTGCGGCCTGGCTTTTAATTCTGCATGTGCTATCGTCCTTCTCGGACCGACCAGCGGCCCCGGCACCAAAGGCCCTGGCAGCTAGCGAGCGCGGGCCCATGGCGAGGGAGTGCGGTGAAGTGCCGTGGTGATATGCCGTCAAGGATGGGTGCAAGACGGCTGTCGAGGTGAGTAAGGTGGGTGAGTGGCTAATAAACTGCAAACCGGGCTTCTGTTCTGACGTTTACTTGCCAAGGGGATGTCGAGAGCAGGTCGTCCGGCGCGCCAGCTGGGGTATTATGGTATTAGGACGTTTGGCTATGCCCGCCTGGGTCTGGAACGAAGAGAGCTCAGGTGGATCAGGGACCTCATGCCCTTTGCATGAGCAAAAGAAAAAAAATGGCAGGTACGAACGGGGCGCAGAGTGCCTTTATCGGCCAGGGCAACCACGCGCAGCCCGAGCCTGAACCGGCGGTCCCAGGCCGACGGCCGTCCTCGCAGGCAGGTTTAACCAGAGCCAAGCGCCCGTGCCAGACCACAGACAGACCCACCGGCTGGGCAGCTCGAGGTAAGGAGCCGAGCTAGCAAGGAGTCTAGCAATTCGTGCATCCATAGGGCCTGAACTGATTCGGGAGGCATTTCACTCGCAACCCTTGGTGTCTTGACGACGCCCTACGAGGCACGCAAGGTAAGGCCTTGCCCACCCAATCCTGAGCCGACTCACTATGGACTTGGTCACGGACATCTGGCGATTACAAGCCCCCTCCTGGGCGCAAAGGCAAGCAAGGGAGACACGAGCGATCCGGCCGTGGGTCATCTTAGCGATGCGGTGTTGTAGTCATAATAATGGGTTGGCGGCCCAATGGTGGAAATTGTATGACCAAGCCAAGAGTGGCAAGAGTGGCGGTCAAGTGCAGAAACGAAAAAGCGATAAGCATCGGGCGGGCTGGTTTTGGGCTGGGGTCCAGGGGTGTTCGGACGTCGTCCCGACATCCGCCGCCGGCGGACTCTACCCCCGGTCCCGACACGGACAGGGACGCTAGGGAGCTGCTAGGGAGGCCGGTGGGGGCAGCGGCCCGGCTGGTCGGTAGCCGCCCGTGATGGACACTAGGGCAGAGCAGAATGACAATCGCATTGAAAGCTCGAAACAAGCAGAACACCCCACGAAAACCCCACGAGGCTGGAGCGGGATGGATGCAGGTGCGGCTCTGCCCAAGCCTCCATCCACCTAGCGTAGCAGTCGCAGGTCAAGGAACAGACAGGCGGGAACCAGAGAGAGTAATTGAGGCACGGGGGATCCTGGCAAGGCGGGTGCACTGCTAGGTGGCGGTGGCGGCGGCTGTCGGACAGGCACCAACCGAGAGCCGCGGCCAGGTCTCACCAGCCACAACAGGGGGTAACCAGCCAGTGGCAATTGATCGACTGTCAAGGCAGCCAAGCCGGGCCCTTGTGCCTGCCGCGACTACCATCTGTAGAGGTAGAGAACGTTGACGTCGGCCATCGACCGGGGTCATTAGGGTTCCCGCATAGTGTATTACAGTGCTTTCAACTTTTTTTTTTTCTCACGCTTTTCCTTCATTTTCCCAATTCCTTTCCGCAAAATACCAGCGAAGTTGAACCTGCCCAAAGCACGCAAAAAAAAATAAAAATTTAAGCTAATAGGATAAATTATCCTTTGTATTTGCTTTCCCAGCCGGCCAGCGCGTTTAATCCCAATATTTTTTACATCCTTTGCATTTTAGGTGTTTTGCGGAAAGGAAGAAAAGGACGCTGAAGCGCAAGAAAAAAAAAGGTGAAAGCACTGTGGTACACTATGTGGGCACTGTACCCCGTAATGACCCCGGTCGGTGGGCCGGCTTCAACGCCCTATACCGGTCTGAAAATTAGCTTGTTTCCCCTTTGTGGTTCCTTGTGCTTCTCGGCACTGCTCTGCATGGGTTCCATGCTTCTGTGCTCTGCAGAGAATACCTTGCAAGAACCACTAGGGGTGCCTCGGTGTCGTGTCTGATGCACGGATCTGGCCGCTGCCTCTATCTGGCACTCCAGGAGCATCATTGATGCGATGCGCGTCGAGACGCCCATGACTCCCAATCACCCTCCATACCACCATCTCGAAGGCGCCCAAAGTCCAAGCACGCCCGCCAATCACGGCCCCACGGCCCCCAATGGCCTCAATGTTGGCAAAACTTCGGCCTCAATGTTGGCAGAACTTCGGCCTCAATGTTGGCAAAACTTCGGCCTCTCGCGCCCATGTGATGCTCACCGTGGCCTCGGCGTACTTTTGTGGTGTTGTGGTGTTGTGTTGTTGTAGTCTTGTGCCTCTCCTCGGCGGGTCTTCGGAATCATTGCCCCCACCAGTGGAAGCCTGCAGGCGTCCTTTCCCCGCCTGAGGAGCCCTGCCAACTCTGCACGTCAACAACTTTAATGCATCCTAGATTCGCTCTCCCCCGCTGCAACGTCGATACAGCGCGGGGACGATCGAGAGATCCTGGGGTAAGTCTGGCCCACTGCCGAATCTTCTGGAGCACATCGCCCGCGACGATAGCGTCGTTGCCGACGTCGACATCGACCTTCTTGTTTGATCCATGACTCCGACGGACCCCCTCCCCCCGTCAAGGGCCTGCGCGCTCGTTGTCCTCGATCCTGCTCGGCCAAGGCAGTCCACTTCCTTCTACATCGAGAAACTCTTTCGTCCCCGCGGTCTCCACAAAGACGCCGACGGCGTCTTTGTGGAGAATCGGGACTTGATCAAGATCTCATGGACTGCAGGATGCTGGATTTCGGGAAGCCCAAAAGCGATAGAGGGGCAGATATGGGGTTATATCCCCTCACCTGGGGGTAGTTGGGCGGTCATGCGTATGTGTATATAAAGAGATGAACTGGACTTGATCCCTCAGCTCTGTCGTTCGGGAGAGCCAGGACACTTTTAAGAGTTTCTCCCCAGTTGACAGGAATACCAAAGAGCAAAGTCCCGACCTCCTAACAGCACTACCCGATCCAAGATGCTCTTCAAGCCCACCCTCGCCACGGCCCTCGCCGTCCTGCCAGCCGCCCTCGCGGCGCCCGTTGTCGAGGAGAGGCAGGCGCCGTGCCAGGCCGTGCGCGTCTTCCTCGCCCGCGGCAGCGTCGAGCCGTACCCGGGCCGCCAGTCCAAGATCGTCTCGGCGGTCTGCAGCGGCCTCAGCAGCTGCGGCTACGAGGACATCCAGTACCCGGCCACCTATGAGAACTACTGCTCCTCAGTCAGCACCGGCATCGCCAACGGCATCCGCCAGCTCACGGCCTACGCCGCCCGCTGCCCCAACGCCAAGCTCGTCCTGACCGGATACTCCCAGGTGAGTGATGGCCGCACGCGCCCCCCCTCCCCCGGTCTTGGGCTTCGGATCAGAGTGTGTGTGACTGACAGTGATATCAACGCAGGGTGGCCACGTCGTTGGCGATATCCTCGGTGGAGGTGGCGGCAACTTCCAGGGCTGCACGCAGGCGACCAGCGCGGGCCTTAACCCCGCCACTTCGCCGGGCAACAAGAGTGAGCGGCTGAGCCCGACATTACCTAGCTTCGAAAATGGACTGTTCTGACGTTGACACGTTGTGATAAATAGTCGCGGCTGCGATCCGATTCGGCGACGTCCGCCAAGCCGGCGCCCAGTCGTACAATACCGGAACGGGGGCGTTCGGAAACGGCGTACGTGATGTGTTGATTTTATTTCCAGCTCCAAGGCGAACCTATAACGTTCGGGGGAAATTGACTGACACTCTCTTGAACAGATCTGGCGCCGCGAGGGCTCTCAGCTCCAGAGCCTTAACCGCTTCTCCTCGGTCCTGAGGTCGTGGTGCCTCGCTGGCGATCAGGTGAGTGATCGACAGCCCAAGCCACCTGGGGGCGAAGATGAGGCCGCGCCATGCTGACAACCGCTGATAGGTCTGCAACACCGCTGGCACCCTGGACCCGCGAGCCCACACCTCATACTTTGACGTCTTCTCCACCGAGGCCGGTGCCTGGGTCAAGACCAAGCTCAGGCTGTAGATGCGTAGCGAGGGACAAAGTGGAGGGGTTGCCGTCGCCGCTCGGTGGGATAGTTTTTACTTGCTGCATGTGGGGCTCCGGCAATGAGGTTGGATCCGTATTACCGTTGTGTTACACGCGCATCACGGAGGAAGGTACTCTAGGTGTCACGCTGTTACTGCTGGGCATTTTTACTTCGCTTGGATGATGCATCACTCCCAGCGCCCAGGATGATACTACTGTGAGAGTTTCCCTACGTGGCATTTACTTTGGGCCTTTCGTCTTCTCTTCGCAATTCGCCGAGCAGTTTTTTTTTTTTAAACTAATCTCTTCCAAGGCTAGACTGGCTCCTTAACGCAATGTGATGTGCGAGATGGCTCTCAGCTGCAGTGGGAAAGCAATACATTTACTGTATCATAGTCGAGGTAACAACGCATCCATCCGTGCCCGCCTAACGCAAATTTTGAGGTGCCAATTCCGTCTTCATCATCGTAGAAGTCTCCTCCCAAGTCATACAACAGGATGCAGTAGACGAACTGCCCTGGTCGCCGAGCGAGAGCTCCTACGAGCCTGCTGGCAAATCACCGCATAAGCTCAACACCCTGCCGCCATATGTTCTTAAAGTACGACTGTCCTCGAGTGGAAGAACTGTCACTTCAATGGAGGCGCGTCCGCAAAGCCGCTTACAGCTCCTCCTTGGCCTTCTTCTGGGCATCGTCCATCCGCTTCTGGGCGGCGTCCGCGCCAATGTTCAGCTGGTCCTTAACCCAGTTCAACGTGTTCTTGACGTTCTCACCAAGCTTGGCGAAGATGGTTTCAGATGGCGACGAAGTGCCGTACTGGTAGTAAGTCCATTGCCTGCGAGCCAAAGCCCGAAGCTCGTTGGTCTTGGTACCCTGAGGAACGGGCTGTGGAAGAAGACGCAAGTTAGTTGAGCGGCCGCTGTCTTGGGAAATGGGTATACATACAACACCGTAGCTGTCCAGATACGACTTCAGGTCGCTATCCGACCATTTCGCAAAGAGCTCATTGCTCGCCGCCTCGGTGGCCTTGGACAGGTAACTGGTGGCAGAGGCCAAGGTATCACCGCCAGCACTCGATGCGCTAGCATAGGCAGCCTGGGCAGCCTTGACGAGGTCGGCGCGCGTAGCATCAGACTTCTCAGCAACCTTCTTGGCCGCCGCGTCGCCGTTGGCAAGAATGTAGTTCTTCAGGTTCTCGTAGTTGTAGTCCTCGAAAGTCCAGACGGTCCAGCCAGACGCAGCCTTGTGAGAGTACTTGCGCACCAGAGCCCGGAGCTCATCGACCTTGGAAGTCTGAGGAACTGGTACACCACGGGCGTCCAGGTACGACTTGAGACGGCTCTCGGACCACGTCGAGACCGCCTTGTCAAAGGCCTCTTGAGCTGCGAGCGAGGCGCTGTCGGTGGCGCTGGCATACGTGTTGCCCGCCTTGGAGGTGGCGGCACCGTACGCGGAGGCTGCAGAACCCGAAACATTGTCACCGATGATGTCGGCGCGGTTCTTGCGGACAAGCGCACGAAGCTCGTTGACCTTGGTGCCTTGGGGAACTGTAGTATATGGTCAGTACATCAGACAGGCGGAAGGGGCAGTCATAGTAGCAGGGCAGGAGAGCTTACCAGGAATGCCATTGCGGTCGGCAAAATCCTTGAGATCGGATTCGCTCCAAGCATCTATGATCTTGTCTGTGAGGGTGGCGTAGGCAGCCTGGGCGCTCGAGCTAGCACTGGCCATCTGCTCCTGCGACTTGAGATAGGCGAGGCGCGAGTTGCGGCGGACCGAAGCAATGAGCTTGTCGCGGGTGGTGGGCTGGGGCGCGGGGAAGCCGTTGGTATCAAGCCACTCCTTGAGGTCCGACTCGGTCCATTTCTCATACAGCCAGTTCCCGGGATAAGCCGAAACCTCGTTGAGCTTCTTGGCCACATCATCGTAGCTCGAGCGAGCCTTGGCCAGGAGAGTATCGCGCTTGCGTGGCTGCGGGACGGGAATGCCATGGTAGTCGCAGAAGGCCTTAAGCTGACTGTCGCTCCAACTATCAAAAATCCACGTTTTGAGGCTGGTGTAGCTCTCCTGGGCCTTGTCCTCGGTCTCGTACCAGTTCTTCTGAACCTGGGAGACCAGGCTGTCCTTGCTAGCAGCGGCCGAGTCCTTCGTCTCGATGCCCTTCTGCTGGAGGTAGGCGCTGAGCTGCTGCGTATCCCAGTTTTGGTACGGAGACACGACATAGCTATCCCAGTTCTGCTGGACAAGCTTCTCCAGGTCGCGCCGGTCGGCAGGGGTTGGGTACGGGACGTCGTGGTCCGACAGCCAGCGCTCAAGCTCCGTCTCGTGCCATTTGTTGTAGGCTGTGGCGGTCGCAGGGCGCAGTTAGCAATCTAATCTGCGATGATATCGCCAAGCAAGCAACGGCCATATGATGTTTTCGAAAAACGATCTGAATGGAATATGAAGAGGGTGAGAGCAAACGTACCGGCCTTGGTGAACCAGCTGCTGCCGAGAGCGCTGCCCACAAGCGCGAGCTTGACGAGAGTCGAAATACCTCTCATGGTGAAGACGAGACGATGCCGCCGTGGTCAAGCTCGGTGTGTTGCGGGACCAGGCTGGCTGAGTGTGTTTGTTTCGGTGTTCTAGGGCAGTTGGCCGGTTGCAAGGAGGGTGTGTGTTTTAATGTGTGAGGTTGGAGAGATTCCTAGACGTCTCAGGCCGAGATTTTGGTCTGGGGGATTATGGGGGGTGGAAGGGAATGAGAGTGGATGAAGGAAGAGCGGAAGCTTGTTGGCCAGGGAAGTGAAGGGAGCTGAGACGTGGCGGTAGTGAGGGCCACAGAATCAGGCAGTTACAAGTGGTAGGTCCCCACGTTGTGCGGCCGTGAGCAACCAATCTTGACGTCACCCGGTCGTTTGTTTACTCCCTAGTGCCTTCTGCTACGTGCAACCTGCAATGGAAGGCGCCTGCCTGCCTGCCTGCCCTGTGCTATGTTTGATCCCCTCCAAGTACCAAAGAATGCGGATGGTGGCTGCGTTCCAGTCCGTTCCATGCCGCCACCTCTTGGCAGTGAGCGAGACAGCATCACAGGCACCCGGGCGGCCGGGCAGCAGTGGCGGCCATCTGGACTTTCCAACACACTAGTTGCACGCAGCAAGCACATGCGTTCACGATCGAGATTTACTGGGGACTTGATGACGTCGTCGAACAAAGCATCCCGGCTAGCGGGGTCGTGATTGGACGACAGCTCCCTGCTCTGGAGCTTTTGGCCCGGACGAGCCGGGCAAACGCACCGCCTCGCTAGACCTGTGCGGCTGCCAATGAAGCTCCCGGCTGGTTCAAGAGGGTTGGGACAAGACATAAAAATGCGCCTCCTGACGTCACTTTGCCGTGTGCTGGGACGAGCCCAATTCACTGGCTTGTGGAGAGGCTGGTGACTAAGCCCACCAGCGAAACACCAGCATAGGTACCGGCTTGAATGGTGCGTCAAGTTACGAGCACTCCTAACGCTTGCTGCCTCGAGTTAACCATTGCAAAACCAAAAAGGCAAAAAGAAGAAGCGACAACCCACGGCATATACAAGTAAATCGAATCGTTACCAACGCATAAGCATTAACAGTTTCGTCCTCGCCTGGGCTTGAACCAGGAACCTCCTGATATTAGATACACATATTATAGGTAGTAGCTAACGGTCAAACGCGCTAGCCAATTGCGCCACGAAGACCTTACTTATGAGTCGTTGTTGGTTGCTGGCGGCCAAGCCCGTGGAGCTCATCATTGCTGTCCCCATTAGGAGTCGAGGGTGAGATATTTAGCGACAAAAGGAACCTTAAACTTTGCAAACACCCAGGGAGGAAACCTAACCCTTAACAGGTCGAGCAGGTACCGCTTGCGCAGAAGGTTGAAGAGGTATCTATTCTCGTGCCATGAGGCGAATGTTAAAAAAGCAGAATTTCGCTTATACCGAATCATTATAAACCGTCCCAATCGGCATCACCCACAGCTGCAAGTACACAACTGTAAAGTCTCCGTGGCGCAATTGGCTAGCGCGTCTGACTGTTATACCCTGGTATGATAAGTCATCAGGAGGTTCCTGGTTCGAGCCCAGGCGGGGACGCTTTTTTGCTTATAGCTTCCTCGGAAGCATAAGCTTTGTTTTGGCCTTTTGCTCTTGGCTCGATAACGCGGGTAGTTGATGGCGCGACGGGCATTGTGTGTAGCTTTGACAATCGTCCCAGGATGCCCTTTTACCTTTTTTTTTTTTTACCCTTTCACATGAGCGGCGGGCGGGCTCACTGAATTTGGCTGCTCGTTCCTGCAACACCCGCTGAGCGCCCATGGTTGTGGATCTGAGCTGCCCCACCCTCGCTGCCCCAGGAAAAAATGTTGGAAGAATTTCTGCATGGCGCTGTGCGACTTGCACAAGCTTGCGCTGCCCGGCAAATCTTATATCGACAGGAAAGACGGCAGGACATAGCACGAGATGGCATCTCAGGATCAGAACATGCCCTTTATAAGGAACCTTGCGTCCAGCGGTATGTCGTCGCGCATCACATTCCTTATCTTCCCGGGCTACCAAGATCACTGACGAGCGGACGCGGAATCCCAGACCGAAAGGCGCGGGCGCAGGCGCTCACCTCGCTCGAAACGTTCCTCTCCTCCCGACGGCTCAACAACCTACTCGGCCCCGTCGAGATCCTGAAGCTGTGGAAGGGTCTCTACTACGCCCTGTGGATGTGCGACCGCCCGCTGCCGCAGCAGAACCTGTGCGCCGAGCTCGCGGGGCTGATGCGCTCGCTGCCGCGGGAGTCGGTGGTCCCCTGGCTGCGCGGCTTCTGGGTCACCATGGCGCGCGAGTGGACCACCATCGACGTGCTGCGCATGGAGAAGTTCCTGCTGCTCGTCAGGCGGGTGCTGGGGGCCAGCTTCGCGTGGATGCGGCGCGGCGAGTCCGAGGCCCGGGCGGGCAAGAAGCAGAGGAAACAATCATCAGAAACAACAAATCCAGGGCGCTGGCACGAGGACAGGGTGGACGAGGTGGTCGCGCTGCTCAAGGAGTGGCCGTTCTCGACCGACGCCGACGTGGAGGGCCGCGAGGCCGCCGTCGGCGAGGGCGAGCACCGCGACCTGGTCCCGCACACGGTCGCGGCGGGGCTGAGGATACATGTGTTGGACATCTGGGTGGACGAGGCCGAGAAGGTCGGGCTGCTCGGGCCGGCGAAGGAGGGGGAGGAGGAGCAGGACGAGGAGGCGCCCAAGATCCTCGACAGGATCAACGCGCTGGTGGAGGAGCTACACCGGGAGACGGAAACCACGTCGGTCAAGATCCGGGCCGAGGCGTCGCTCAAGGACGACAGGCTGCCGTGGAACCGGAGCGGGGCGGCCGGCGGCGGCGACGACGGTGGCAGCTGGGACGGGTTCGAGGACTGAATCAGAGTTAGGCACGCTTGCATGTGCACATGATCGCCCCACACAGAGTTCTCGACCCCTCGTCTGTGTGGTTCGGTTTGGTGTTTTGGCGTTATGGTGTTTCGATAGACAAGGAAAAGTCAACTAGCTATTTGATACCTCGCCCACGGACAGGGCGGCATCTACCCAACAGCACACGACGGGTTCGAAGTCATGCTGGGTGAGGATAAAAAAAGCTCAGTTTGCCGAGGTGACCGGGGTGAGTATTGATGCAGGCCCTGGGACTGACGAGTGGGCAGCAGGTTAGCCGCTTACCCAACCAACTACCGCAACATTGCACGTGGTGATGTCCCCGGGTGTCTTGCCTATTCGAAGGCGGGATCACCGGCTGTGCACCTTTACACTAATGGTTCTTGTCCGGCCATTGCCCTTCCTTCTTGTCTTCTTCTTCCAGTCCCTTCTTCCCCTCTCTGTGGCGTGTCATATACGCGATACGCGACTGCTAGCGCCATTCCCCACAAAGGATGGTGCATTTCATGTCATTGAAGGGTTGACAAAGGCAACCTATTCAGATCCAATACGAGCCCCCTCCGCTCTCAAAGCCTCGCCTATGTCTCATTATAGCCCGGCAGCGGTGCTAGAATATCCGATGGGGTGTGGGCAGACATAAGAGATGTCCCATGTGGTCAAAAGAGCGTGCGCCGGCGTCTGAGATGCTCAATCGCAGTTTCGTGGGGTATTGAAATTAGGGAGCAACAGCCCTGTCAACCGCCATCCCTGCAAGCCTGCCCAAAACAATTTAGGCCCTGACAACGCGCTCCTTATTGGCGCAACCGCCAGACTCAGTGGCCCCCGACCTGGACTCTGCGTCCCAATATCAACACTTGGAGCCAAGCGATCCGTCTCCCAGGACCTGACAGCGCCACGAATCGCGCCAAACACGGTTTTTCACAGTGTGTAAATATACATACGCAGCACACATCGCTCCAGCACCGCCCGACGGCCGACCACAGCAGGGGATCTCGGGGCGGGACCAGACCCCCGGTGGTGCGACCACCACTCTCATACGCAATGGCGCACGACAGGGACACGCTCGTCCTGGGCTCGCGCGAGCTGGAGATATCGAAGGACGAGCTGCTGGTGCGGGGGACGACGGACGGCAGGACAAAGAAGAAGAAGTCTAGTAGGACCTGCGGCCTCGGCTCGTCGGGTGCCGCGGCCGACGCACCGCAGTCGATCCCGCTCTACAACATCCTCTGGGCCGAGGTCTCCGACGGTGCCCTGACCGTCGACTACGCCCAGGACCTCTCCAAGACCTGCCTGCGCGCCGCCAAGCTCTCCATCCCGCTGCCAACGACGACGACGCCGACGCCGACGCCGCCGACCGAACCGTCAGCCGACGCTGCCGCCCCGACGACAACAACAACAACGACGACGGATGCCCCGGAAGCGGCCGCCACGGCCTGGGCGGCGCTCCTGCTCGACCGCAGCTACGACGCGGCATCGACGCGGCGCAAGCGCGCCTACGTGCTCATCAACCCGCACGCCGGCCCCGGCGGCGCCGTCCAAAAGTTCGAGTCCGAGGTGCGGCCCATCTTCGAGGCGGCGCGCATGACCCTGACGGTGGTCACGACAGCGCGGCCGGGCGAGGCCTCGGAGCTGGTGCAGGCGCTGGACCCGGACGCGTACGACGTGGTGGCGGCGGCGTCCGGCGACGGGCTCGTGTACGAGGTCTTCAACGGCCTCGGCCGCCGGCCCGACGCGCGCCGGGCCCTGGGCTCCCTCGCCGTCGTGCATATACCCTGCGGCAGCGGCAACGCCATGGCCTGCAACCTGTACGGCACGCACCGGCCCGCGGCGGCGGCGCTGGCGGCGGTCAAGGGCGTGCCGACGCCCATGGACCTCGTCAGCGTCACGCAGGGCGGCACGCGCACGCTCAGCTTCCTGAGCCAGTCGCTCGGCATCATCGCCGAGGCGGACCTGGCCACCGAGGACCTGCGCTGGATGGGCTCGTCCCGCTTCACGTACGGGTTTCTGGTCCGCTGCTTCAAGCGCGCCGTCTACCCCTGCGACGTCTCGGTCAAGGTCGAGATGGATGACAAGGCCAAGATCAAGAAGTTCTACTCGCGCTACCGCTCCGGCTCGTTGGGCGAGGCCCCGGGTGAGGGCAGTGGCGGTGGCGATGGTGGTGGTAGTGGGAGCAGCAACGCCGATGAGGGTAGTAGCGTCGAGGGCGCGGGGGAGGGGCTGCCGCCGCTCAAGTACGGCACCATCAACGACAAGATCCCCGACGGGTGGGAGACCTTTTCCTTGGACAAGCTGGGCAACTTTTACTGCGGAAACGTGAGTTTATATCCTCCATTTTTTTTTTTTGTTTCTCTTTGTCAAACCACTGCACCCATACTAAACTCATCCTTGTCCAGATGGCTTACATGATGCCCGAGAACAACATGTTCTCGGCCGCCTGCATCGACGACGGGCTGCTGGACCTCGTGACCGTCGACGGCGACATCTCGCCGCTCAAGTCGGTCTCGCTCATGACGTCGGTCGAGAACGGCAAGTTCTTCGACGACCCCCTGGTCAGCTACCGCAAGGTGTCGGCCTACCGCGTCACTCCGCGCAACCAGGCCGACGGCTACATCAGCATCGACGGCGAGCGCGTCCCCTTTGAGCCCTTCCAGTGCGAGGTCCACCGCTCCCTCGGCCTCGTCATCTCGCGCCGCGGCCTGTACGAGGCCCCCGGGCCTCGGGGGTGGGACAAGGTGTCGGTCGCCGAGAGGATCATGGCCTGACCGGGGTCGTGTTTTCTTCTTCTTTTCTTCTTCTTTTTTTCTTTCTTTTCTGATATCTCTATTCCCTGATTAGTCCCGTCTCTAATGGGACTTTGGTCGCCAGGGAAGAAGCTGCAGGGCTTTTTTGACGGCCTAGAGAGATGGTGATACCCTGTTAGAGCTCTGCTTAATTTCTTGCCCGTTATTTTGGATTGTACATTATGCGTGCAGTGATTTTACTCGGAGCATCCGCCGTTAGGCTTTGCCCCGGTTTCCTTGTCATTAGCACGTTGGCGAAGCTTTATTGCGCCTTGCTCGTCATATAATTTCAGTCGAGAGCCAAAGCTGTCCAATTGATGGCGTATTTAGTGATTTGACATTATTTCATAGACTGGTTAATTATCTTAACACTCTCCTTTTAAAATCCGGTCGCCAACACTCTAGGGTATCCGGCATGTGATTAATCAACGCTTCATGCTGTTGAGTCAAGGTATGACATGACTATTCCTCGTGCGCCTCGTATCCGCTCATTTGTCGGTGGCTGTGCCCAGGCTCCCGCTACCTGCGCGGTCTCCTGAAGACGCACATCATCCTGTGGCAAGCCAGCGCCTCCGCTAGCCGGTCGTCCGAGACGCACTGCCTGTGCACGTCCTGGTACTGCCTCTGTGTCCTGGTGATTTCCCCGCCGTAGCCGCAGCGGCCCGTCGTGGCGAGGTACCTCTCGGGGGCGCGCTGGCTGGGGAAGAGCCCGTCGCTGCCGAGGTCCGTGTCGTGCTCGGCCGTGTTGACGCACACGACCACCTCGCGCTCGACCTCGCGGCGGTGCATGGCGCCGCCGGGCGTCACGGTGACCTGGGCGGGCGGGAACAGCATCTCGTGGTAGTCGACGGCTGGGGAGGCCAGGGACTGGCTGTTCTCCCTGCCGAGGTTGTCGAACAGCAGGTTGAACTGCTCGGCGGGCAGCAGGTGGCGGCGGAAGCGGCCGAGGAAGCGCCTGAGCTCGGGGGCCAGTCCCGGGCAGCTGCGGTTGACGAGGTGCTGGACGTAGCCGTCGAGCATCACCATGTCCTCGGAGAAGAAGACGGGGAAGTCCGGGCCCAGGCCGAGGGCGTCGAGCACCGGGGCCGACAGGTCGCGCAGCCGCTTGTTGGCGGCGCTCTCGGGCAGGGCCGTTCCCAGCACCTTGCGGGCGCGGCGGGCCTCGTCGCGCAGCTCGCCCCGGTTGGCGCACCGGTACCGCCACCGCTGGGCCGTCATCTTGCGCTTGGTGCTGCCGCCGCCCGGCTTGGCCACGGTGTACTTCTCCGTCACCAGCTCGAGCTTCAGGCTGATGACGATGACGCGCCCGAACAGGAAGCCCCGCTCGTCCACCTGGTCGTGCGCCCCCCTGGCGTCGATCTTTTTGGCGGCGTTGGCGACCATCATGAGGTTGCGAGGGGCCGGTGATGGGATCCTGGAGGTGGTGTCGACCGCCATGGTGTTTTGTTTGGCCTCTCTTGCCTGGTCTGTGTGTTGTCTCTGTTTCTGTCCTTCTGTTGCTCTCGTGTGCCGGAAAATGCAGGTGGCGTGTCTCTTCGGCAGTTCGCAAGACGCTCCTCCGCACAGCGGCGCGACTCCCGCTTTTATCTAGAGGGCGAGTCAGATGGAGCGTTCATTGTTTGCAACAGGTTGCAGAAAGAAGGTATGAATGGCACTAGGTCGCACGATTTTCGTTTGTCCGACTGGGGGCCCAGGACTGAGAAATAGGCCGGCCTCTTTGTGTGCGGCGTTTCAATGGAATGTAGTTTGCCTTTGAGTGTGGCGGAGGCGTTTGAGACGCCCTGTTTGATGATTTGCTGAGGATCCGTCTCCGTCTCCGTGCCGCCAGCCCCCTTTTTCACCGTCCACGACAAAGGACAAAGTTGGCTGCAGGCGCACAATGCAAGGGGCAGGGGGGAGCGCGGGCACAGCTGGGCTGCTTAGTAGGAGGGGGCCCAACGCGGGTTCACGGGGCGTGAAGAAGGCAGAGCAACCCCGACCGTGACCCGCGGTGAGCAATGCATCATGAGTGAATGGGTATTTGAATTACAGCTGGTCGGGGGAGGCTGTGCAGTTTTTAGCTCGTCACTAATTGCGAGTCTTGCGCAGGCACAAGGTAATTACCGCCACTGGCGATGGTTGGTGTGCTGGCATCAGATTGATAGCGCCAGTCGACGTCACTTGGCGTCGGTGGCCTGACTTGATTTGACCACACTGACCGCAACCAGCGAAACAGGGTCCAAGCCAACATGCCACATGCCACAGGTCACAGGCGCACGGCATGCCACCTTGGGGCGAGACTTGTCCTGTTCGTCGGAATCCCGGGCGTGGCGCAGGCTAAAAACGGAGACTTCCCGACTGGCGCGCGCTACAGCACAGCTGGGTGGCCTTTTGGATCGATCGAGGTGGGAGCCGGCGGCTCGGGGTGCTGCATCTTGCCGCCGGCCTCATCGTAATGACCAAGCCACGCCTCGGGCCAGGTAGGCGTTGGTGGCGGAGACAGGGAGGCCTCGAGTTGTTGAGCGAATTGAGCTGCGCCTCTGAGTGACTGTGCCAGAAGACCCTAACCCTGGTGCTTCCCCTTGCTGGATGGATAATCCTGGCCATGCACACATCTCCATCGCACCCCAGAATCCGATTCAGGGGGTCGGATGCGAGCGCACGTGGTGACAACTCCAACCGCCAAGCCTGTCAGCGCGACCATGGCTTCAATCAACGCATCCCACTCCTGCTCGACGAGCCTCGTTTTCTTCCTGCGATCCATCAAGCCGATGCTGCTCCTCCCGCTCGGCTGCTTGTCAGGGTGCACACGCACAGAGACATCTGCGCCATGCTCAGACCGCCCGCAATTATGGCCATGGCGCGCCGCCGCCGCTCCCACATTGCCATTGCCAGCATCTTTGTGGTTTTCACCGTCTGGCTGACGACGCCTTTCGATTCGTTCGTGTATCTCATGCCCAAATATTACCTGAGCTGGCCCTTTGCGGACCGGCTGTCGGACGAGCAGGTCTTCTCCAACCAGCCTCCGCCGCATCCCGTGGACATGCTCCAGGACGCCGTCGTGATCCTAAAGTCAGGTTATGGAACACGTGACCGCATACAGGGCTGGCTGGACGCCCATGTGGAGCACTTGAATATAGAGAAGCTGTTCCTGGTGGCCGATTATGAGGCCAACTTCTCCATCACGGCCCAGGGCGGGAAGCACACGCTGCAGATGTACGATTCAGTCCGTTTCACCATAGATGCATCGGTGCCGCCCCTGTCACCAGATACAAAGCGTGTGAAAAATCACAATGACCTCCAGAACGCCATTGCGGCCGGAGTTACAGAACGGCTGGACCGTTTCACCAAGGAGTTTGGATACGAGATGGATGTCATGAAGGTGCGTCTCGAGCTCACCGTCGCCTTTCCTTTCTACTTGACGCGAGACGTTGGCAATTTATCAGCAACCACTCGAACCCTAAACCTTCCTGGAACGCTAACTCGGGCCTGCACGCGCCTTGCAGTTTGTCTCGAGCCTGGAAATGGCGTACAATCGGTGGCCCAATGAGAAGTGGTATATAATGGCAGACGACGATTCATATTTGATGTTGCCCTCGGCCAAGCAGCTGCTCCAGCAGTTTGATCCCAGCAAGCTGCACTATTTGTGCGTATTGTTGATGTTGCTTTGCATTCCGCTTGGGTGTCTTGTCGAGTGGCTTGCTAACTCTAATCCTAACAGAGGCAACCCTGAAGGGCATTGGACAGGGCGTTTCGGTCATGGGGGATCTAATTTCATGGTGTCGCAAGGCGCCATGAACTATCTCTTCCGCAAGCACCGCCAGACCGTCGGGGCGGGCAACCACGAGGCGTCCACGACGGCGCGCCTGGGCGATTGGCTGCTGGGTGTCACCTTCAACAAGATCGGCATCTACGTGCAGGTCAGAATCACACGTACGTCCCGGGGGGTGTTTTGTACGCTAACAAATCCGAGCACAGGAGGGCCACAAGCGTTTCTTCAGCGGCGAGGACCCCTGGGCGGCCAAGATGCGCGCCGACCGCGTCTGCTCGCTGCTCGTCGGCTTCCACGCCATCAAGACGGACGACGCGATGCGCAAGGTCGCCGCTAGCTTTGGCCCGCTGGCCAGGCCCGCCACCTGGTGGGACGTGTGGGACATTCTGGGCGAGAAGGGCGCGTTCGGGGCCGGCGCCGAGTCCCACTCGCGCAACGACTGGGACTACATTGGGAATCTGGACGAGGCCACGTCCACATTGGGGGACTCCCCGGCCGCCATCAGCTGTCAGGACGAGTGCCTGGGCCGGAGGTGGTGCCTTGCCTGGACGTACGAGCCCGAGAAGAAGGATTGCCATTTGAGCCCTTGGATGGCCGTTGGGAAATCCGCAACGGGGAAAGTCTCTGGTATTAGCGCAGCTCGTATTAGTGCAGTGCGGGAGAAGTGCCCCAAGCATTGAAAGCGTTTTAGCGATATAAAGCTGGAATACATGGCCTTGTATAATATCACCATGGCTGTTTCTGGATGTTTTACAAGGGGTCTACCCTGAAATCATAGAGGCACCTGGTACCTAACCAGGCCTGCCTTTTTATGGTGGCTATCTCTGGATTCCACCGGTGGCGGATGAAGGAAAAGTCAAGAACAATATATCACGGATGTGGCTTTTCAAAAGGTTTGCGGAGATGAGCATACGTCTTTTACTACGTCTTCCATCACGATTCTGCAGTGTTATAATCTCGAACCTCGGACACATTCCGAAGATCAACACATTCATGGGCACGACGCACCGATAACTAAACCTATCCAAAAAGGAAAGAAAAAAGGAAAATGGTCCGCCCTTGGAAGCTCCTGCAAGCGCTCGCGGTCCTGGCCGCCGCCATGCCCCCCAGGACCGGCGGCGGCCCCGTCCTGGCCACCATGACCCCGGCGGGGAGCAGCAGCAGGAGCAGCAGCAGCAGCAGCAGAAACGGCACGGCGACCGCGGCGCGGCCAAAGAAGACGACGGAGCCCCCGGCCTGGTGCACCACGACGCTGACCGTGAAGGCCCCCTTGGTCACCTACACCTCTACCACCTGGGCTACGGAGCTGGTAATCGGCAGCGGCCGCCCCACTCTGTCACAATGCTACGACAGCTGGGACCTCTGCCACGGCCAATGCTTGATATTCGCCTGGTTCACGTTCGGCATTCCCTGCTGTCGGTTTGCCCTCTCCCTTTTCGTGCTTGTTGCCCCGAGCCCGCGCCCGCGCACGCGCGCGCCCTGGTTTCCCGGGTGCGAGTTGACAGAGCTCTTGCTAACGTTTGTTATTATCAAAGGGGATTGCCTGGAAAAGAAGGACTGCCTTCTTTCTTGAGCTAGCGGTTATCAAACTGGCACGCGGTGTGGGATGTTCCTCGATTCTGGTGGATTCTTTTCTCTATTCTCTAGCCCCCTTTTTTTCCTTCCATTTTGGTCCTCTTCTTCCCTTTTTTTGACGATTTTAACTAGCGGATACCACAAAAATACGACAACTTTATGCTCAGCACCGTGTGCGCTGCTCTAGCTCGATATAGTCTGCGGTGTTTAAGAGAGAAGGATGGCATCGGGTCATCTTTTTTCTCAGGGGCTGTAGAAGTCGCCTCCCGTGGCGATCTGGCCCTCGTCCAGACCACGCAACGATAGGCCGAGGCACTCTCGGGGCAGCCGATTTTAGATAACGGTCTGATCCGGAAGGAGGCTCGTGAGGACCAAGGCGACAGACAACATTTCACATGGCGAGGGTGTGATGTCCCTACTGGGCTACTACCCTGCGTGAACCCACTGTCGCAGCATCCACGATGCCAAGGCAGCCGCGGGATTGGCACATGTAATGTAATGCAATGCAGCGCGCAGCCCTTACCCGACATCTGGCGGTAGCCGCGCTCGAAAGTCGAAACCGGCCGGCCATGGGCGTTTATGATGCGATGTGCCCTGGAGGCCCGGCCGAGGCATTGTTTTGCCCAGAGAGGCACCGCCCTGCCCCGAGGCTGGTACGAATTGATACTACCCCTAGTAAATCTCGCCAGATGTAGGTATCGGGGTGGGTCATGGCAACTTGTGGGACCGATACATACCATGGTTACCTATCTACATAGGTAGGTACCTACACGTCTAGGGCTGCTTCATCTATCCCCGGCTCATCTAGCGCAGATGAGGGCGGCGGATGCGGGGACCGCTGCGACCACTGGGGCATGCATCCACTTGCAGTGCACGGCTTGGCCTGCTTGCCCCCGATCTCCTGTCTTGTCTGTCCTGAAAGGCGGTCCTGCGTCTGAAATCAGGGGGTTCGTCCCGATTCGGCCCGTCCCAATCTCTGGAGGAGCAGGGAACGTAGTGGCTCACGTCTGTTTTTGTCGTTTGTGGGGAAACAAAGGGGAGACGGATCGGATGAGCATGGCGTCAACGTCAATGCTAGTGGCCCCCGAATCCATGGAAAAGTTGGGGGAGGGAGGGGCTCCAGTTCCTGGCCGATAGCTGGTGCCGGCGAGGGGACCCATGACAAATGATAGGTAATTTGCGAGTCCAATGTTGGTAATGTTATGGCATTGCCACCGCCGTTCTTGACCTCTCTCTGGCAGGGCCATATTGTGGCTGCAGTGCAACGATGAACGGAGGGGCCGACAGCGGGTCTAGAGGCACCCATTCGGCCACCTCACTTCATGCCAGCCTCGGCCATGGTGCCCAGCTGGGCAGGCCGCAAGGGGCCCCCGCTGCGGCAATCGACCAGGTTTCCGTTGCCGGTGGGGAGGGCTCCGCCCCCGAGCCTCATGTGGGCATCCGTAATCGCGTCCAGGACAGGGGGCGCGGGCCAGATATTACGATAGCCGTCTTAACAGAACATCAACCAGGTACCGAATGGAGCCAGCAATGCGCCAGCGACCAACCACCAACCTGCCTTGACAGCCGCAATGAGCATCGAATGCTACGCTGGCGCCTGTCTGGCCCGTCTGGAGGGCTGCAGCGCAGGCACTAAGCATCCAACATATGCGGTATTCGCAAGGGAGTTGGTGGGTATCCCCCAAGTGACAGGTGGCAACAACGTGGGCACGGGGGCGATGTGAGCAAGACTTCATGCGATGCATTCACCCATCCGCCGGTGGATATCACCGCCTCGAGAGGTGTGTGTTCGCAGTATATAAAGCATCCTTTCCATCCCTCAAGTCTGCCTTCTTTCTCCTTCCATCCTCACCCGCCATCCTTACAGGCACAGTTCGGCTCATCAGCTCTCAAATCACATTCGTTACTCATTAACAAATCATCACTTTCGCTACTCATCAACAGATCATCACCTTCGCTACTCATCAACAGATCATCACGATCCCAACCGCAAACATGAAGTTCTTCGCTGCTGTTCTGGCCCTGGCCGCTACCGCCGTTGCTGCTCCCGCCTCCTCCGGGTAAGAGAACCCCTCAAACTTTGCTCTCGGCCGTTCGGCCTTGTCGTGTCTTGTCAGAAAACGCGCCCACGCTAACACGGAGCCGTATTTGCCCCAATGATTAGCACCTTCGTCAAGGACAGCATTGCCTGCGCCTGCGTCAACAGCCAGGGCGTCTACGCGGCCGGCGACCTGTGCACCCAGGCCGATGGCGGGCACACCCGGGACCTTCCTGGCGGCCTGGTAAGTCACGCACCCATCCAAAGCACAGAAGCTCTAGATAATGGGCGGTATCGACACCCTATATACAAGTTCTCCGACTGACACTCGCTGCTTTCTCTCTCTCTAGTGCTTCCCGCGCACGGCCCGCTCTGCGGACATGACCAAGGTCTTCACCGATGCCATCTGCAAGGCCACCTTTGGCAACCAGGGCTGGGACAAGGCCGTCTGCAAGCCCGTGAAGATCTGCACCGATCCGTACTGGGGCCCTGATATCTGGACCCAGTGCTAAGGGGTGGACGAGAATGGAGGCGATGGCTTGGACATGGTGAGGGACCCGTCCCGCGAGACCCTCGGGGGGACATGCGCTTGGTGATCCCCTCAAAGGGCTGCCGGCGCCCAAAGCTGGAGTGGTGATGCAGGGAGGAAGGTTGGATGGCGCGGTTCACACGTCAAACAGAGCATTTCAGGACCAATATACCTACCTCCCTTATTGATGATACCTACCCCACCGACATTGTGCTCCCAGGTGATCAGATAGGAGGAGAGAGAGACGGTATCGTCGCCGAGTAGGTGCTTGGGACAAGCACTGGGCCCTTCTGAGCCGAGAACTCCCCTCTCCACTAGGCCACCTCGCGAACATCCCCCGCAGTTGCCGATGTCAGAGCCCGCCGATCATCCAGGCCACCTCTCGAATCATTGGGCCGCGTCGAAAACGTGGCGTCGGTCTCGTTCTCGCCGTGCGTGCGTGGTCTGCAGGAGACTGGGGCGCTTGCGATGATGCAGCGTCAGTGGCGCTAGCGGGCAACACCATTGGGCGTGGATGCCAGCAGCCAAGCATCATGGCCGTCGCGAGCCGCATGATTCTAAGCAGGGGTTCGGGACCTCCCGTGCGGGGGCTGATCGTCGGCCGCCCCACCCCCCGATACGTCAGCCGCTACGCCAAAGCTGTGCCGCACTAGCATCTTAGATGGGCGGATGCGGCGTGCTTCTATCGTTGAATAAGTTATGCGGAGGGAGTCGGACGTCTGCCGTCGCGTTATTGCCACGGTGGGGGTGTCTCAAAATTCCCATATCTTCATCGTGTCACCCAGCGTGGTGCTTCCTCATCCCCTTTTTTTTGCTTGCACCTCCCCTCGCTCTCCGTCCCGAACCCTGCCTCCCTGTCATACACAGCGCAACTAGAATGTCCGGGCCGGTGTTAGGTAATTAGGAGCCTATCCTGCCATCAAAATATGCACCCGCCGGCCGGCCTGCCCGCCCAAGTGCCAGACCGTACAAGGTAACGATCTCTCGCCTAATCGGCCTGACACCCGACTCCCGGCGCCACAAAACAAGCCAATCACGCCAATGCTGCACGGGTAGGACCGCAACCAGCAACAATGGCTTCCAAGTTTGGTTCTCCAGCTCTCCAGATACCAGCCAGACCAAGTATGTCTGTTTGTGGCTTCTGTTTTCGAGCCACTTGCATAGCCTCGGTTGGATCCCAAGCCTCTAGTCGGTCCGACTTGCATGCACGTCTCGGGCATGTCCTGGAGGGAGACTAGCCCTGGATACACTGCGTGTATGTTAGCATGGCGACTTTTTGATGTGGCGGCGCGCTCTGGAGAATCGATCGCCGGACTGGCTCCGAGCACATCAGTTCTCTCTCGACACCTGTGGTCGGATCAGCGAGACTTGGCCGTCTACGGTTCTGTGACGGGGCTTGAGGGTGACAGCCTGCTTGATCTGGACATGAGTTTAAGGACATGAGTTTAAGGACATGACGCAGCTGCATCAGGCCGAGGACTCTTGTGTATAAATATACGACTATCCCCCAGCTTCTCAACCAGGACTTCATCTCACAATCACATCCAAGCATCTTCAGAGCATCAAACATCATTCTGAACTCCAAAAAAGCTCACAGCATCTACACATACTATACTCGCCCCCAACACTTCCCATCATGTCTCTGCAGTCGACTGATATCGCCGTGGTCTCCGCTGGGTCGGACGCCATGTACGCCTACTTCCAAGGCAACGACACCAAGATCTACGAGGTCAAGTCCTCGGACGGCAAGGAGTGGACCAAGAGCTCTACCGTCGTCACCGACGCGGCCAACCCCAACGGCTCCGCCATCACGGCCTACCACGTCCAGCACGATGGAATGTTCGACAAGAAGTCGACGGTACGACTGCCCTCCTGCACAATGCATCCCACCCAACTCGGAAGGTAGGTTGCTGATGCTCCAACTCCAGATCCATGTCTTCTTCTTGGACGGCAACGGCCACATGAAGGAGATGGTCAAGCAGCTGTCCAAGGGCGACGACTGGACATCCGGCCAGCTGCCGGACGAGATCTCCAAGGCCCCTATCCAGACCTCGCGTCTGTCCAGTGGCGTGTGCCACGACGGATCCTCTGGCGCCCACCAGTGGGCCTTCTTCACCATGTCAGTTCATCTTGCCGATTCTGCATGCCCCTCCCCTCCTAATCGGTGACCAGAAGCGACGCGCTCCTGGCATGTCTGCCACACTGGTTCACAGAGAGATATGGAAAGCTTTCAATCTTCTAACGCTTCCGGCACCGCCTCGACACGAGCAAAGCATCGACCAAGAGACCGGCCATCCCGAGGTGGCTGAGATCCGCAACGGATCCGAAAGCTCCTGGAAGTGGGTTTACCGCAAGATCCTCCCCCAGAACCCTGCCGACGCCCTGCCGGGGACGTCCGTCGCCACCAACCTCAGCAACCCTACCACCCACCTGTTCTTCCAGGATCACACGGGAGACATCAACTACTACCTTGGCGGATACGAGAGCTGGGACGGTAAGTTGACCACCCGGCTCCTGATCTAAGCCCGGCCCAGACCAGCTCACTAACCGGCGGATGAAAAAAAAACCCGTTCCGGCCACAGACAAGAAGATCCTGGTGACCCACGACAAAGTGCAAATCTCTACCCCTCTTGCCGCGTGCGACTCGGACAAGCAGGACTACCCTCACATCTTCTACGTCGACAACGGCCCCAAGTACGCCATCCAGGACATTGCCAAAAAGCTCAGCCCTACCAAGGTGGCCGACTTTGTGCCGGGCACGCGGTTCGGAGCATGCAGGTTCAAGGACACCGTGTATCTTCTGCACAAGTCCCTGTCCCACCCGACGGCCATCTCGACCATGGTGTTTGATGGCTCGTCCTGGGCTGAGGGCGTCAAGGTTGTCGGCTAAGTCGGGCGGCCGTTGGGGAGCGCCCACGAGCTCGTCACAGTCAGGATCTATCGCTTTGGTTTTCACGAAGTGAGGCTAGGAGAGATTCGCTTGGCTGTGTGTAATTTGTCTGCTCGGTTAGCACAGGCCACCCCTTACACAGCCAAGCTACGGGAAATGGACAGATTGGGTTGAAAGTCGTGTTAATTAGGGTAGTTTATCTTCTCCGATACAAGCGCTTCCATAGCGAGCGCTTGGGCCCTTTTAGCAAACGGCGATATTCGAGTGTCCGTCCTAGAAACTTCCTCGCTCTGCCTTCCCTTGCTCGGCCCCGTCGAGGAGAAGTCTCAACATTCACCCAGCTCTGTCCGAGCGGATTGTTTCCCGCAACTCCAACCAGGGCGAGATATCCAAACTGCACCATCGCCGCGCGAAGATGCTCTTCCGACGTTTGCCAGTGCCCTTGTCGGCCCCCTTCATCTCACGCAACTACAGGGGTTTCGCCACCACTGCTGCTAACCACAACCTCCTCGGCTTGGCTGCCCTGTCCAAGGATTCCGATAACAACCTCTACTTCAATGCCTTGGTCAAGAAAACCGCCATCGAGGACGCCGCCGACCAGATGGCACCTTCGGAGCTCGGTGCCTGGTCCGCGTACACCGACGGTAGACTGATACTGCCCAAGGTCGATTGGAACGGCGCGCCAAGCCGTGCCCGCGCGCCGATTTCAGACCAGTCCCTCGAGACAGCCCAGAGCTACGCCGAAGCCTTGAGCCGTCTATACAGCGGGATGGCGACGGTACCTGATAGCGCCGCGGGTAACGTCTCGAGCGAGAAAAAGGACAAGCCGCCCCTCGTTCGTCTGTCTCCAAGCCAAGCCGCCTGGTTCGTGCGCGAGTACAAGCTGGAAACCACCCTCGTCAAGGCTGTGGGACGCATCATCCGCGTCGAGAAGAGCATGTACAAAGTCCTGCAGGTCGTCAGCCAGGCCGCGGCCAAGTCGGAGAAGGACGGCGACAAGATGGACTAGGGAGTGCGCGTCTTGGGGCCGCCGCACCGGATGCTGGTTTGCGCGCGTCGCAAGAACCTAACCGCGTCGCTTGGGGCTTGAAGCTGCGGTTAGGTGATGTCGTCGACGGCTGGAAACGAAACAAGTCTGACGACGGCATGGCCACGGATGTTGGTGCAGCAAGCACCAGTGGGCACGGGTGCAATCCAAGCGGACCGCCGGCAAAGGGCCCAAGGTCGAGGTAGATAAATGGTGGATGTGGGGATCGACGTCGCCCGCCTCGTGAGTGGTCTCCGTGGTCGGGCATTCATGGCGCAGTGAATGAATCCGTTTTCTGGGGCAGCGTGGGGTCGCCGAGCTGAATGCCATGAGCGTCGGATGGATTACTCCCTGTGACCGCCCGTTGTGACTTATGATTTTTGTTGCAAGCAAACTGGATTATGCAAGGGCCCTCAGGACTGGAAGAGGTGGACAGGGATTGATGGGTGGCAAGCGCGGTCGAGGAGCATAACGGCTCGCTCTTCAAATGCGTCCGGTGTCTCCCGATAGGGAAAAAGATTCCTCCGGCAGCGCAGCTGCACGCCTGGCTAGGGTGCGAACACATGTTCCCGGACGAGCTAAAGGGTCTTACGCCGGTCGAGGAGAAGCTTATCGCGTTAAACTCGTGCTGCAGCTTCATCACCAAGTATAGCATTCCACAGGGACCCCGGCAAGGTGCGAGATAACCGAGGCATTCCAAGGGGCATATCACCAATAATGTGCAGGAGCTCGCAGCAAAAGTCCTGCCGCACCCGCTACTCAAGCTCATGGATGATATCCATGTGTCATGGCAGGGCCCGGAGAAACCAGCGCCAAGTGATCTCTCGACATTACTGTCGGTGCGGCGCCGTGTTGTTGAGAGGGCGCTGCGGTGGCTAAAGAGGCACAATTCCCTATACGCCAACGAGCGCGGGGCGCTCCACATCCACGGACTCCTCAGGCTCCAGGGAAATATGCACATCAGCTCCACCCTTGGAGATGTTGCGGGGGAGGATCAGGCGGAGTACCGGGAAAGTGTCATCTGGTACGTTGGCAGCACCAACTGAAAAAAAAAAAAAATCAAGACCGCAAAAAGGGGGCTCCTATTTCAAAGTCAATTAACAGCACCAAAAAAAAAAACCCAACAATTGTAATTTATATGCAAATTGATGGGCAGCCGTTTTCCCCTCGCCTTTTATTATCAGCGAAAGGATCCGTGCTTTTTGGGCGTGTTATACTGCTTTGGCATATTGCAATTGAATTGACCGAGTTTGTTTTGATGTTTTTTGATATAGAGTTTGGGTGGGGAAAAGCATTTGGCGGTCATTTTTTTTTTTTTTTTCAGTTGGTGACAGCGTATTCGAGGAGGTATGTTCCCCGCGCAAGAGCCACGCACGAAGGTATTAACTAACGCGAGGTCAACGACGCAGAGACTTGACCAGGAGGCGTTTGCAGCAGTTCAGGCGGAGAGGGATTTCGTGGGCAACAGGGTACCCGACAATATGACCGCAGCGTGGGGGGGGGGGGGGNGGG